TTTGAGGGATGCTGGTGGTCCTTCTAATTCCTGGCTGCTGGGAGCAGCTGTGGGGAAAGGCTGAGCTCTGGCTTTGTGCTCCCAGTCCACACTGGGCACTCTGCCCCCTGGACATGGCTGCCCTGGGAGGTGGTGTGGGGGATGTGGTTGGAGTGGAAGGCTCTGGAAGGTGCTGTGTGTTGGTACCTGGGCTGTGTGCCATGTCTTTGGGGTCCCCTCCATGCCCACAGGTTTGGGGCCAGGACAGGGCAGCATTTCCCCCCCATGCCCACAGGTTTGGGGCCAGGACAGAGCAGCATCTCCCCCCCCAGCCCCGTGTCTGGGCATGCCTTGTCCTTTTTGGCTTCCCCACCTTCCCTGCACTTCCAGCCCCACTTCCCCAGCACTGGCTGCACCAGCCAAGTTTTTTTCCTGTTTTTCCCAACTGGGAAGAACCACCCCAGTTATCTGTGCTGGTGCCCAGACCTGGGCAAGGGAGGGCAGCAAATCGATAGGGATCCAGAAGGGAATGCAGCCATGGAAGCCTCTGTGAAGCACCTCCTTGTGCCTCCAGCCTGGTCTCCAGGGCATGGGGATGCTGTGAGGGCTGTGTGGCTCTTCAGAAAGGGATGGAGAAACCTGAAGGAGCAGCCAGGGGGTGAAAGGGGGAAGGCAGGATATGGTCCAGCTGCTGGGGGACAGCCCTCGAGGTTGGGGGGTGCTGAGAGAGGGCACCATATGGGAGTGATGGAAAGCCCTTGGGAAGGTTTCCCTGGTAGCTGCTCAGTGCCCTTCTCCAGCGACAGGGATTTTTTGTTTCTGGGCTCCACATCCTCACGGCAGACAGATTGATGGGATCGGTGTGGGAGCAGGGATGTGCCTGATGAAGCAGCAGCAGCTGCCAGGGAAACCCCTGTGCGGGAGGGAGCTCCGGCCCCGCCGTCCTCCGCAGAGCCGGGATGGATGGAGCGGATGCTGTTACCATGGCGACGGTGCCCACCGAGGACAGATGGGCTCTGGTGTTTTCCTCACGCGCAGAGATAACAGGATCCGAGAGGATGCTGTCGGGAACGCGGCCATCCCTGGTTTCCGTGGGGAAGCCCCTCTCCTGGCTCTCCCTGGCCGGGGCACAGGGCGTGTGTCTGATCACAAACCCGGGTCCGACAGCCCATCCCGGGTGCTGTCGGGTGTTGTCCCCTCCCCAGTCCCTCTGTCCTGCTGCAGGATGGGACCTGGGGGTCGACCTTAGCAGCAGCCTCGTGCTCCCTTTGAAAGGGTCCTGAGGGGGGTCTGAACTCAGGTCAGGGTTTTCCTGAATGCTCCAGCTCTGTCAGGACCTGCCAGCCAGGGACAGCCACTGAAGTCACTAATGGGGTTTCTCTTTCTTTTCCCCTCAGCTTTGCAGCCCAGGACTGAAGACCCCCCCCCCCCCATCTCTAGGGGAAGATGAAGTAACAGGAGGTGGAGGCACTACTGACAGCCAGCCTAAAATGAAAAAGGGACACAGCCTGTGGCAGCCCAGCCTTGCCCTGTCTGCAGCCTGCTGAGGGTGAGTCCTGCTGATCTGGATTAGGTTCACGTGTGATGATTTTATTGCCACATCTCTGCATGCCTCGTTTAACTCTCCCAGCCTTACCCATGCTGGGGCTGCTGCAGGAGGCTGTGACCAGGGGTGTGTGGGGCAGGAGGCTGTACCCAGGGGTGTGTGGGGCAGGAGGCTGTACCCAGGGGTGTGTGGGGCAGGAGGCTGTACCCAGGGGTGT